TTCGACGTCGCGGCAGCTATTGCTGATATCGCGGTAAGGAAGATAGAAGAACTAATAGCGTGATACGGCATCCCCACGAAGATTGTGACGGATAACGGCACTCAACTCACGTCATCAATTCTCAAACGATTGTGTCAGAAATGGGGGATCCGACATGCGACGTCACCACCATTTCATCCATAATCGAATGACCAGTCAGAACGTTTCGTCGACAAGTTCAAGAGAAAACTGGCCCTAAACTGCAGTATCTCAGCACATTCCTTTTCGTTTATAGCACAAATGCAAAAAGTGATCATGGGGGCCAGACACCAGCCGAGCGGTTTTTGGGACAACAGCCAGATACACGACTACAGTACCTACCCTGCCAGCACATGGTCCCTTCATAGGCGGGGCTGGAAGGGGCTGGCTGGGGCCAGGGCCCCGCCTGCCAGCACATGGCTCCTTCATAGGTGGGGCCAGAGCCCCCTCTGCATTGAAGCATTTTTAAGCGTATTTGCATCGAAAGATATGTTTCAAAAGCACCACTTATTGTACCTTCTTTGGAATTAAAAGGAGCTAATTTATCAAAATTGGCTTATAAATCATGGAGAAAGCATCCGTTTACGCCCACCGAATGTAGCTGCGGATGAGCACAATATATTGAGGTTTTGTTTAAGTCCCTCATTGCGTAAACTCTTATTTGTCCACCGGTTTACAATCTCTGTGTGTTAGTAATTCGTATATTTAACAATCGGGACGATATTTTAAAGAGGTGCCAAAAGTGGGCGGGGATGTGGCCTCCCCTGCGCATTTTTTTCGCTGGTGGGGCCATGCGGGTCTATCGCGTTGCATGCCCCGCCACAGCCTCCTCATGGCCCCCTCTAGCCCCGCCATTATTGAGGGGGCCAGGCGGGGCTGGTGCTGGCAGGGTAGAATCGGAAGTTCGAGTTCCACAGACGACAAAATATTACTTTGGCGAGGAAGATGAGGTGTTTGCTCACAATTACAAAACTGAAGAGAAGCCCTGGATAGAAGGTATAATAAGAAAATCCAGAGGTGTTGTCTTTGAGGTGGAGACGGCAGCCGGAAAAATAAATAGGCATGCTGAACAGCTCAGAACTAGACACACCAGAGACAGTCAAGTGGCATTCGACCTGCTGTGTGATACCTATGACGTCCCGATCCCCAAGCTAGACAGTCAGAAAAAGAAGAACGCAACCGCCAAAGAAACTGGCCTTGGACCTGAAGAAGAAGAAGAAGAAGAAGAAGTACGTGGTCCAAGATTCAAAAGCGGGAGGTGTTATGGATAGTGCAAGCGGTGTAGAGCGACGGCCTAAGGCGCTGAACAGGGGACCAAGCCGGTGGCGTGAGACACGCGTGAAGCTAGACTGCCGACCGGCGTGCACTGCAGCTCCGAGCTCGTGTGGTGGCTTTGCTCACGCGTGCGGCCCAACCAATGGCTGTTCGAACATTCCAGACGTTTCCGCCGGGGGACTATCGCGCACGCGGTGGCCAATAAGCGACCAGCACTCCCCGGGTAGGAACATTCTAGAACGCCCTTAACGGCTGACACGTCATTGGGCGGAATGTTCAAGAACGCACAGGCGCCAATATGAATAGAGCATTTTTTTCTGACGAGTTGTAACCCCTTGTGTCCGTAAATTGCCAATAAAGTGTTTGTCCTCTGAACCAGCTCTCTTCCTGTTCCACCTTTCTTTCGGGTCATAACACACACCATAAACTTCGAGACTTCTCTTCAGTCAGGGAGGTGCTGCCGACTTTTGTTGGATTTTGAATTTCTTATTGGACCTAGTAGAGTAGTTAGTCCAAAAAGTGGAAAATCCTTCCTAGACATTATGAATGCGTGCCATCGAACGTTCTGACTAAGCGACCAGACTGGCAAACATCAGGTTGACTCAGGCGCTAAACGCCGGATTATTGAGGGAAATCAGAATCGCTGCTCTCTTTCTCTTACTTTCCCCCCCCCTTCCCCCCAACGCATCTTTAGTGAACATGCCTGGGCGCCCACGGTGACATTGCGCCTCAGGTGTCTATTTACACGTACGAAGCGGCGGTAGTAGTTCGTCTAAAATCCTGATGCCTCGTTTGATTGCTCCACTGCTATCTGACCCCTCTCTGGAACTGAGAGGCTCTTTTTGGTTTTTTTGAGGTAAGGTCTTATTGTGCAGCCATACATACGGAACTTAATACTATTGACCTACTGATTTGCTTTGAGTAGGAGTAATTGCGTCGACTTTGTGTTTGTCGTCTCCTTCTAACCATTGAGTTATCTGGGTTAGGGGTTGGGGGTTCGTGTTAGGGGTTAGGGTAGGGTAAGGGGTTAGGGTTGGGGGTCAGTTTTAGGGTTAGGCGTCAGTGGTAGAGGTTAGAAGCTATGGTTAGTGTTAGGGATACGGTTACGGTTTGGGTTGGAGTGAGGGCAACCCTAACCGTATCACTAAGCCTAGCCCTCACACTAACCCAAACCCCAAGACTAACCATACCCCTAATCTCGAGCACAAGACTGCACTTTTCTTTTCCGTTTCAGCAAGGTGCAGGTGTGCTATTTCAGTATAACCTCGTCTCCCCAAAACAAATCAGTAGTTCAGCAGTATAGTCCTCATCCTGTCCCGCTGCACACCATACGAATGATGTTGACCGCGCGTTGCCGCTTTCGATCCGTTGGTTGGATCCCTAACGTATTTTCATCACCGGCGCTTCAGTTTCAGCTGATTCAAAAATTTATCGCTCACATCATTAACTAATTTTCTTCACAGCAATTCCGCAGCAATCGAACTAACACGTCCGATTGCTTCACCCGTAAAATCCCCTTTAACATCATTCCCGTATTACAGGCAGCTGGGGTTAGGTTGCTTCATGGACGACTGCATACTAAGATCTGACCGGTTTTGGGCCAACAACCGCTCTCAAAACCGGCAAGTCAAGTTCCTTCGTAAAGAAGGAGAGCGCCTAAGTCATTTGTTCGTTTTTCCCCTTTAAGCTGATGCAGTCTCGTCCTCGCGCAAGGTACTCGGACGTCCACCCCAGTGACGTCGGACGTGTGCCTCTTGTCCGGCTGTCAACTTGCCTCCGCCTACTCACCAGTCACCCCATAGAGAATACAGTGTCCTCCGTGTGGATGTCCAACTTTTATTTCTATTCGAGATTGGGACCGAGAGTTATAGTGGTTAGGATCTGCTCATGGCTTTAGCTGACGTTTGTGGTTCTTATCATCTGGCAAGTGATTTGGCCGCACAAGACTGACGGTCACTGATCTGTCATAATCGCGAGACTAAAATGGGCAGAAAGTGAATATTCATTTGAAATCTGCAATCAGGATAGACCGGCAAAAGCGCCACACTCATGTCACTACGCGTCCCCGATTTCAGTCGACGAAAAATGGTTCTGGTAGGTTCAGTTGTCAGACTGAGTCACTGAATCAGGTTTTTATTCTCGGCTGACAATCATCTGGGGCAGGAATATCATTAAGTGATGGCGGCTAATAAACTTGAAATTGGCATTTTCTCCTGCGTAATCTTCGAAGCTAACATGGCTCAAATATTTGCCTTAGTATATATACGTGTTTGTCTCATATGAATGGTCTTTCGTGACTCGATACTACTTAATTGAGGTTGCGAAACGACTTAGGAAAAAACTTACACCTAATTTAATTCCCAACAACTTATGTGCTGGTTTTCGATGAAAATACCTCCCCTTATCGGTGTAAATCAAGTTTGCTAGTTCATAAGATTTTATTATCGCTCACTTATTTGAAATTACGTCCTTCTTGGATTTCTTATACCTAGAGACCTTTGTTTCAAAAGCGTATAAATACCTGCACATTCGAAAGCATGTCTAGGTTTTTAATGATCCCGTAGGTTTAAAAACCACATCCCATGGGCGTTTTCCCAAACAAATTCGCGCAACGCTGCATGCCTTCATAAATGGGCCTTCTGCTGTTAGGTAAATAAAAGAGAAGATCGGACTCCATTTATATTGTTTGTGGGTAGCACTAAGAAACCCGGAGCGAGTTCCTCTAACATTTTCTGAATTGCTAGTCTCCTAAAAACAGACCTGTTTTGTATTTTATGCCCCAGTTCTACAAAATACCCGAGTTAGTCCTTATCTGTCCTCTCTATAAAGTATGTTTGGTTTTTCGCATCCTCCAAAAATTAACAAACATACAATACTCAAAAGTCGGTCTTTCTCAAGTGTGGTTAGTGGAAATGATTGAGAATATGTCCCACTGAATTGGCTTGAGGGTACGCTTTCTGCTAATTAGTCTTTGTGGAGTCGCCTAGGCAATATTAGGGGACAATGACCTCTTCCAATTAAAAAACCTCATAGATTATTATATCCCTCATACAGTGTGCGTGTATGTACGTGTTATCTGACGCATTAGATTACACGCCTACCGTTAATTTCATAAACCCCTTTTGTTTATCTTCCACCTTATTCCATCACACATTCGGATGCGCAATGTAACGGTTTCTACAGCAACAAAATCCAGATTACGCTATAGGTAAATTGAGGTCTTCGCGGCAGTCAAATTCACATCCATGCTTACCCGTGTCTGATCGGCAGTTCTGGCAGTAGTCCAGAACCTCGTATGAGTCTACTACTCACAGGAGATTTCCGTCCACCCAGCTCTTGGGCTGAAATTCACAGTCTTCCAGTAAGACCTGTGTAATCGTTAGCCTCAAAACGGAATGTATGAGTACGCAGAGTCAACCAGCTTTCTAAAGCAGGCGCGTTAACTCAAGTTAAAATTAACTGTGTGTGTGTGAGCGTGCGTGGTACCCACCGAGCCCTTTGATTGGTGCGTACGGGACCACAGACACACGCCTGCGCATACAGTTGAAACCCAACTATGCCGCGCTGTATTCTTGATCAATCTCCTTCTCACACGCACCCGCACCAAAACGCAAGGCGTGACTGATGCATAACCTTTGCACTTAGTAAAACCAGACCTCCAGACCCCCTGAGGTAAGACACAGAGACGCACTGTCTGTAGGCTCTACATGTCGGATTTGGATCTAAATGCAGGCGAGAACAAAGGCGTTTTCCACCCCTATGAAAATGCCAGTCTCGGCGCGACACGACCTGCCTATTTGCCCAACTCTGGCTTCTGTGAGAAGAGGCAACACAAACGTTCAATAAGTGAACAAATTTTCAACCCCCGACACGTGCATACACGACGTCCTCGACATCGAAGCAAGAGCAGGGATACTCTGTTAGATGGTGGCGGTGTGGGGCCAATGCTCCACCCTGAAAGGGGCTCCCTCTTCGAGGGTTACATGGGTGAGGAGGAGCAGGAGTACTACAGTGACTATTTGCCTCCTACGGTGGAACCCATTGCACAGTCGGCTACCTCGACAGGAAAGGCGTCTCATTTCAGACAGGTGTTAAAAATGAGAAATAAACGAAGACGGCAAAGTCGAAATGTACGTCTGTCCCTAGTTTTTTTTTTGTATGACATCATTCCATCTCGTGCACTTGCTTTATAGCCACTGGGCATCCGCTTTGAGTAGAGCACAACGTGCGTGTGTAAAAAGGACTGACGAGTGTAGCTGTTACAGATAAAAGGAATTTTGTTTGACTGGCGTTTTGGATTCTAATCCAAACTCATCACCAGTGGCAGTCACAGATGTGAGAAGCAACAACGCGGGGTAATTTGAAGCAAGCATAGGCGGCGGAATTTATTGGAACCGATAAATTTCGCGACGGCTTATCATCTGCAGTCTGTCGTTGCCTAACACAGATAACAAGTGAGAAAGATACAGAGGTTTGAGCTTCCGCAGCGAAAATCAAAATAAAACAGCAAGGTCATCGTATACTGCACGCAGGCTAGTCAACAAAATGGCAAATTAAAAATGCAACTTGGGAAAGTAAAGGGTGAAGTTGACACGCAGAGAGGTTCGCAAATCAAGGGGTTGAAATTTACCAGGGCAAGCTGAGGTTGAACACGTGGTATAGCTGTTTGCATAGGTCGGGTTTCTTCGTCGTAAGTAGGCCGCCTCCAAGTAGCGCAGTAACCGAGTTGTTCGTGTCCGAACTAATACTCTAAAAGATGTTTTAGGGTCAACGGAATGGCCGCTATCTAGAAAACTTTTTAAACCCGAATTGTACTCTTCTTTTGAGTATGAAACTGGAAGAAGACGTGATTTTCTATCGAATAAGTAAAAGAATGAATATTTTTATGCATGTTTTCCATGAAATATAATTGACTTTTCAGGGGCATCGAAAATCAATGAGAAAATTGCATGTTACTTAAGTAGCCATTTTTTGCAGAGTATAGGTCTTACATGCAGCCGAAAATAAGTTCTTTCGAAAGCCGACACCCTGAGGTAACTGGATCATCATAGATTTATGGTGCATCATGATTAGTTTTACAACACTACTTAATTTATCTTTTCGAAACGAGAACGCATTTCGAAGGTTTGGTTGACATTTCATGAGTTAACACATCTACTGTAGGTGCTTTGTGACAGAAGATCGTGGAATTTTGTTCTCCTGCTTTAGAAATAATTACGCAGGTTCCAATTAATTCTGCTGTCTATGATTGTTTCAAATTTATCCTAGGGAAATATTTCATTAACATATGGTAACTAAAATTCTTGTTCCAACGATCACATCTTCTTCCGTTCAATCGCCTTCCGGGACTTGCCTTTTCGCTTGCATCAGCAAGTAAAGCCTCTTTTCGAAAACAGTCGTTAATAGTAAATTTTCTGCAAGCCATGCTATCACTATCGTCGTTGCTTAAACACGAGTCGTGTCTGGTGTTTACTTTAGATTGTTTTAAATCAACTGGTCTTGAGCTTCACTGAATAAATCTCCTGATGTATGTAAAGAGGACTGATGAGTGTAGCTTTTAGAAAACAGGAATTTTATTCAACTGACGTTTCGGGTTCTCATTCAAACCCATCACCAGGGACAGTCACAGATGTGAGGATCGACAACGTGGGGTACCTAAAATTCTTGCCTCAATGACCGCATCCTCCCCTATTCAATCGCTTTCTTGGACTCGCATTTTTGCTTTCATCAGCAAGTCGAATACAGTCGTTAATAAGGGATTTGTTGCTGTCGTCGTCGTTGCTTAAGCTCAAGTCGTGTCTGGCGTTTACTTTGGATCGTCTCAAATCAACTGGTTTTGTGCTGCGCTGGATAAGCCTCCTGATGTGCAGTGAACGACGCACAGGCTGCCACGAACTCTTGACCTCAACACAATAGGTACTGAAGGAATGCCCAAAGTCCTCTTTGATAAATTCTTCACGGCCGCAGGTATCATCTACGGAGGATCGACCCAGTGGTTGGTCCGCCTAGGATCCTCATACAATCTCGGGCAATACTGCAGTTGTGATCTGCTACTTTATTATATGCAGAATGAGATTAATGGCGAATACAAGGGCGCCTAAAGTCGCCACTTCTGGCTCATTAGCCGTCGTCAATCCACGGCCCCAGGTTTGCGGCCCCGAATGTTCTTTGAGCAATACCGAAAATGCATAGGGTTAGGCTTGCTGTAAAAAGCATATGTATGCTCAAGAAGGCCATTCTACTGACTTTGATAGGAAGCAGCTGAAATATTTCCAAAAATATGACCTAAGCCTAAAGTAGCGTGCTTCAGCAATCGTAGTTTAGTTTCTTCAATAATTTTGGTTGAAATTCTAAAGTTGAAACGCCGTACTGTTGGTAAAGTCTGCTGTAGTACTCGACCGGCCGAAACATTGCCTCAACCTCCAAGGCAAAAACTAGTGAAGATTTAATTTCGATCATCATTTGGCCAAGTTGGCTGACCGTCTGGGGAATCCACTCCAAACTTGGAGCATCATTAAACGTCTGGGCAAGGGCGTGGCTTATGGCCGAGGTTACTTAGTCCGGGGAGCAATTGTGCTGAAAAAATAACTGGCGATATTTATTTGTACATTCCAGAGAAAAGAATAAAAAGACGTCACGGTGGCTGCTACGTGAGGGTGGCCAATATGCTTTAAGGTGGTCATCGGAGTAAAAGTACGGAAATGCAATGCCTTTTTTGACAACGACTTCAAGGGATCGTTTTCAATAAGACATTCCACAGACAAGTGGGATCTACGCTGCCAATTATGTTGATACTTCGCATAACTTATCAGCACTGTCAACCATACATGCAACGGTAGTCTCTTTTTTAGAAACAAGCGTGAAAGTGAAACTGGAATTTTGAGCATGGGTGTTGTATGATAAGTCAAACCTCACCCACATACGTGGAGTTTACATGAAATTATAAAATGCCTTCGAGTAAGCGCCTGACTTGTTCTCAGTGGACGGGGTGGGCTAAGATAAGTTGCTTTAAAGGGGAACAAAAAGTATGGACAGGGCTTGCTGCAGTTGCTTGCTTTAACTCCCATCAGTCGCCTTGTGAAGCATATTCTCAAGACCGTCATTTCCATGAACGTTTGACTTTCATTTTCACAATATTCAGATTGTATGACATGTACTGCAAACCCCGTTCAAGTTCAGGAGCGTTCTGGCCGCAGAGTGACATATGATGTCGGGGCTGAGGCCGAAGGCTGTTTGTCTTGATAAATTGCCACGGCTAAACACCTCCATCTGCCAGCACTGACATTTGTTTAAGGGTAATATTTGTCGAGGCTTTTGCATCTGGACCCAAATGTCTTCCTCGCATATGTCTCTCCGCTCGGTATTGCCGTGAATGCCTCCGCCTGTTGCACATACTTCGGCATTTCAGCGGGTCTAATTGGAGCTGCTTAGGTAGTTCGTTTTAAATAGTTTCCAGATTTACTTTGTGAATTCCCGCACATAAGTTGCGTGACGTTTTAAACAATAAGGCGAACGTTTCTGCAGACCGCACGCACTCAGTACCTCAAGGGTTGTTTAAATGTCCCCTTCTCAGGGTCTTCCGCTGCTTTGTATTTTATTCGTCCATTGAGTGGTTGCTTGGCAAAGCAGTCAGCCATCATCGAAGTTTTCTATAAATTTCCGAGAAAAAAAGTAGTAACTCACCTGTAAGGAACTATAAAGCGATCACTCATAATACCCCTACCTAGCCACCGAATATACATGCCTATCAGGGGATGTCAATTCGCAGGTTCTGGAAAACTTTGAACATTCGCTAAACTCAGTCACAACTTGTTGGACTGTTTGGCTATGAACGAATACCTTCAGCTAGTTTCTGCATCGCTACGCTAGCTGACAAGTAGAAATCAAGGGGTGCACAAATGTTTGTTTTTAAAGAACAGCCGTACAAAATGGGATTAAACGACTGTGTGGTTAAAATTTTGCCAAAAAATCCGAAGGAGCTCTGATCGAAGACAGATACAGTGCGTGACCGATCTCATGAAATGCTAGTCGAAATTCTGAAAGATGTTTTCGATTAGGAATAATTACTTAGGTGAAATTGTAATATTGATTAGCATGAAGTATAATCCCATAGTATTTCGGACTAATCAGGACGTCGGCTTTTGACTGCACTTCTTTTTTGCCTCCTGCAGAAACCACACTCGGTAAAAAGTGACTGCTTAAATAGCATGCATTTTTCCTATTGGTTTTCGATGGTCTTGTAAATTCGAATATATTTTATAAAAAACATGCACATAAATATATTTTTTTCACTTTTTTGGTAGAAAATCACATGACTTTGTATTTTATATCCGAAGAAAGTGTCTATTTAGGTTTTTAAAAAGTTTCTAGTTATCAAGTTTTTAAGACCGTGCGATGTCCGTGCATACAGGGCCGCACATGTCCGTTTACCAATGCTCCCCATGAAATGTACAGCACTGTCCGGATCCATTACAAAATTTTATGAATTCTATATGATATCTTCTTAAAGACACAGAGGAATATATGATTTGCCTTACGCGGAAAGCATGCAACTTGTAGACTGAAATCACTAAACGCTAATGCAATGGCAGATCGGACTCAAAATTATTCAGGAATTAGGAAACTTTTTTAAAACCTAAATATACACATTCTTCGGATATAAAATACAAAGTCAATGTGATTTTCTACCAAAGCAGTGAAGGAAAGCATATTTATGTGCATGTTTTCTATAAAATATATTCGAATTTACAAGACCATCGAAAACCAATAGGAAAAATGCATGCTATTTAAGCAGTCACTTTTTACCGAGTGTGGTTTTTGCAGGAGGTAAAAAAGAAGTGCAGTCAAAAGCCGACATCCTGGTGAGTCAGAAATACTATAGGATTATGCTGCATGCTAACCAGTATTACAACTTCACATAAGTAATCCTTCCAAATCGAAAACGCATTTCAGAATTTCGGTTAACATTTCATAAGATCGGTCACGTACTGTATAAGTAGGATCGATCAGCCAAATACTTCAGCGAAACGTTAAGGTCTTCCGGTAATAAATTCATAGCCCATCCCATTATCCAAAAATCCATCCTCATACCAACTTTTAGCAAGATAACATGAGAGTTATTATTTCCACAAAAGAAAGTGATCTCACAGTTATTCAAATTTCCATAAAAGACGGACCATATTTTTAGGCTATGAAGGTTGCGTAGATCGGAATTTTACAAATCACGCCTTTGTTTAGCCACAGCGAAGAAAGCATTATCTAGTGAGTGCTTTCACTCAGTCAACACAACGAACGCAACTGGAAAACTCACTGAACGATGCCCTCGACGTGACTCACTTTTGCGCCCCAGACTCCATCCTCTTTTGAAGTAGCTATTGTGTAGATTCCTAAAAATCAAAAGTTAACAAAGCACTAGGATCTTTCCGAAATACGGCGCCCTCGGATTCTGTCTTAAGAGCCGCCTCGACATAAGGTGACAACGGCGGGTTGAAACTTGACTTCCCTGTGGCTTAGCGTTTTAAAGCAAAATAAGATGCGCTTGAGGCAGTTTGCCGAGCACATGACTGACACACCGCTTGCGGTATGAAAATTTTTTTATCGTCATCTGAAAGTCATTTTATCCCTGACGCTTCCAGTCCCGCCCGCTGGAAAGTTGAAGCTTTTGAGGCATCTTACGTACAGACGGAACTTGATTGGCTAGCGTTTTGATAAGTGACTTCGGGATATTAAAAAGTCGCCCATAAGCCGACGGGGTGACTTGTAAAGCATCTTCAGTAAGTTGTCTTCAAAAAAATTACACATGATGCCAGTTATCCCAATGTTTTATTAGTTTTTGTAAAAGTATGTGCATGCTAGTGGCTTGGTGCCACAGTGTTGGACTTGACGGTCGTTCGCGCAGGTCCAGTAACCCAGAGGTGAAGTCAAACGACAAATGCATTGCAGTAGCAAAAAATTGTCCGAATTTTCGTGAATAAAGTGCTCCACTTCCGAAAGTGGTTTGATTCAATGACATTCGAGCGACGGACAGAAATGTGCAATATTTTGCCACAAAAATACCTACATTTGCAAAGATTCCTAATGAAAACTCCAAAGGCAATTTGGCGAGCATATGTCTGCTTCCGACAAATTCTCTTCAGGCCTGTACATTTATGTGGCCATTGAAATAATAAATAGAAAGTTACGGCCAAGTAGATAATTCTGCTGTAGCTCGGGTTTGGGGAGAAGGCGGGAGAGTGAAACACCAAAATTCCAGTCAGCGCCAGGGAGCACGTAGGCCCCGAGCAAAGGGCTTTGCTATGTGTCAAGACACCATGTCGACCACTCTCATATGATTACAGTAAGCGGGCTAACTCATGAAATGTCAACCGAAATTCTGAAATGCGTTTTCGTTTCGAAAAGATTAATCAAGTAGGGTTGTAAAACTGGTCGGCCTACAACATAATTCTATAATACTTCAGTTACCTCAGGATGCTGCCTTTCGAACGAACTTCCTTCGAATGCATACAAAAATTATACTCTGTAAAAATGACTACTTAAGCAGCATGCATTTTCACCATTGGTTTTCGATGCCTCTCAAAGTCCAATTATTTTTTATGGAAAACAAGCATGAAAATATTGATTCTTTCGCTCATTCGGTAGAAATATAGTCTTTCGAAAGCCGACACCCTGAGGTAGTTGGATCATTATAGAATTATGCTGCATGATGATTGGTTTTACAACCCTATCTAATTAATCTTTTAGAATCCAGAACGCATTTTGTACTTTCGGTTGACATTTCATGAGTTAGTTCACCTACTCTATCTAGGTACAATATACCAACATATAAATACGCAAATACCAGGCTTAAGATTTATTTATCATAAAAGTCAGACCGTTGAAACTGGCAGCCCTATGTACTTCAGAGTCAGAACAAGGTTGATTCTGTGCGCTCTAGGGTTTTTACCGGAAGATGGATGCCATTTTTGACTTACGTCCCAAATGATCGCGAAATCAGCCCATGTATAGCTTTCATTGTGTCTATAGACATTTTCATCTCCCATCTTCATTTTGTTCAGATGTCAACGAGAATAGGATTTGAGCGGCTACCTAAGTAGATACTAGATTGCTGCATAATCCGTAGGGCTACGTAAGGACCATTGCAAACTGGACCCAACCGTTGCTTGCGCGTGGATTCGCACGGCACCGACCTCACTTTCTTCTGATATTTTGTATGTTGCAGCACCACGACAAAGTAAAGATGACAGCGCACACAGCTGAACGCATTGACTGATCAGGCTTTTTTTCTTTGTCATACTACAGCACTCAGTAGCGAATAATGCCTTAATTTATGATCGCTTTCCAAACTAATGTTTCCTTACTTATCCAACGATATAACGTCATAAACTCACCTTAATCTACAGTAAAAATGGAAGATTACTAAGCATCTATCACAATGGAAGTCGTTAATTACTTGAGCAAGATCTTATTTCGCAGCCGTACCTGTTAGGGCTTAGGGGTTGTGGTTAGGTGTAGGTGCTTGTCTACTGCAACTACGGCTACGAATTGAGATCCGATCATTACTCGTTTATAGAGAATAATCTAAATGTCCTGTGTAGGTGCTTGTCTACTGCAAATACGGCTACGAAATGAGATCCGATCATTACTTGTTTATAGAGAATAATCTAAATGCCCGGTGTAGGTGCTTGTCTACTGCAAATACGACTACGAATTGAGATCCGATCACTACCTGTTTATAGAGAATAATCTAAATGTCCGATGTAGGTGCTTGTCTACTGCAAATACGACTACGAATTGCGATCCGATCATTACCTGTTTATAGAGAATAATCTAAATGTCCGGTGTAGGTGCTTGTCTACTGCAAATACGACTACGAATTGAGATCCGATCATTACTTGTTTATAGAGAATAATCTAAATGTCCGGCTATTGCGCTAAAAAGCCTGCATTTCTTTATGTATTACTGACGGCTGGAATTGTGCGTCTTTACAGCAGATGTTGCGTGAACTTAATTGGTCATTTGTTAATATGTTTGTCTGTAATCAAATACAGTGGGGGAGCTAATTCATGAAATGTCGGCATAAACTCCGAAATGCGTTTCCGTTTCGAAAAGATTAGTTAAGTAGGGTTGTAAAACCAATCATCGTACAACATAATTTTATAGTAATTCAGTTACCCCAGGATGCCGGCTTTCGAACAAACTCCCTTTCAGTTTCATATAAAAACAAACGCACAATAATTACTACTTAAGTAGTATGTATTTTCTCATCGATTTTCGATGTCCTCAAATATTTAATTATATTTCCTGGAAAACATGCATAAAATGTTCATTCTTTTGCTCATTTAGTAGAAAATTACGTCTTCTCTCAATTTTGCACTCGAAGGGAGGGTATAATTCGGTTTCAAAAGAGTTTCTAATTGTGAATTTTTTTAAAACCGTGTAACGGCCGTTCATAAAACGCAATCTCTCTGCATTTACGAATGTGTCTTGTAAAGTTAACAATATTGCTCAAATTCACTGCTAAGTTTTATGAACCCCATGTGGTCTCCTCTTAATACCGTGGAAAAATGTATGGTTTTCTCTACAAGGAAAATATAAGGCTGGCAGTTTCGAAACCCTGAATGCAAGTGTAACAGCAGGTCGGATTCAAAATTATTCGGGAATCAAAAAAGTTTTTTAAAACCAAATATACTCTTCTTCTGAGTATAAAATCGGAAGAAGACGTGATGTTCTAGCGATCAAGTGAAAGAAGGATTATTTTCATGCATGTTTTCCATGGAATATAATTGAATGTTTCAGGGCATCGAAGGTCAGTGAGAGATTGCATGCTACTTAAGTAGTCATTTTTTGCAGTAAATAGATCCGACATGCTATCAAAAATAAGTTTTTTGAAAGCCGAACTTCTGAGGTAACTGAACTATTATAGAATTATGCTGCATGATGATTAGTTTTACAACACTAATTAATTAATCTTTTCGAAACGGAAGCGCATTTCAGAATTGCTGTTGACATTTCACGAGTTAGCCCATTTACTGTATTTCAAATCACTTAGATAGGGCGCTTTTTGTAAAGCCATCTCAAGTAGAACAATTATTATTTAAGGTTTTGAGAACCTCACTTAGGAGTAATGTTTTGTCATCGTAATTGATACGCAAGTGGATCTCTCGCTTGTTTGCAAACAAGCCGTACTCTGAACTAACTTCCAATAGCTTGCAAATTATGGGTTCACAGAAAGGCCTGGTTTACTTTCTTTTTGGAAGCTGAGCTGTGTTTCTTATGTTCATGTGCTTTAAAACTAACTTGGAAGGTCCGAGGTATCAACGCACCTTTATATCGACTCTGGCTTAAAGACAGTATTCATCCTGGTGTTCATACCATATTCTAACAGACCGCCATAGAGCCAATCTTTTTAATCATTTTGGAGAATTACACATTACTAAGCAGAGATCTCTCAAATTCAGACGTGCCGAGACCGTAGATTCTAAGATTCACAAAAAATCTATGACTCAAGTGTGTCTTGTGAATTCCAGGCGGACTGTTTGGGGTATTCGGTTGGACAGTCATCGTACGGCATTAAAATTAATGAATTCCATACTATGCAGTTGGCTGGGCGGGTAACTTGACACAAATGGAATTCAACACACGGCTCTCGGTGAGCCTTTTAACTAAGACGACTAGAGTGTTGGCTGTACCCAGGCCTCCTTCTTTCTGTCTTGCGTTCGGATTTAACCGAGGTTGCTGAGTCTATCGTAACTGAGCCACATGGATTATTCAAGATCTTCAAAATTGCCTCATAAGAATGGTTTCTCGAAAATGATAGGACAGCGAGTGCGCGGCTCAATGATAGAGCATTGGACTACTTAATTCTCAATGGCCAAATGACCCGGGTTAGAATTCTATGTTGTCCAGGTCAGTGGCTGTGCGTCGCTAACTGACGATGGCCAATAGGAAAGAAATGACCATCTTACTCTGATCTTCTTTTTTCCGCTTTCCTTGTTAACCAAAAACGCATTAATTTTACCAAACTCCTTGAACGTTTTGTCGGCTCTCTAAAATACTGACAAAAAGAATGGCTATATTTGCCGCAAACGAAGCAAAGGAAAGCCGACCAGGAACTTCTGTCATCATCTGACAGATACTCATATCTCTGGTCCTGGTGTACTCCGCGAACAAGATAAACAATATATTTGAAGTTCGTCCGTCCTTGGCCCTCTTTGCTCGTTAAAAGGGCCTTGAGAGAAATTCATCATGTCAATAAATCCCGATTATGTGGAACTTAGACTCCTGTGGAAAAGACACGTAAATAAGGTGTTCCATTAAATTTAAAACATAATGAAACTTGGAACCTGTGCCAACGGACTCAACCCACTTGTGTCCTTACTTGATAAAATTATAAGATTGGTGTTGGTAGTGGAGTATGCACCAGCACAATTTATTTCATTCGCTTTGGTGTCCTCACATGCGTATGTAGGCAGACCTTCTTTCGCTTTTCAAGTTTTATTCGACAAATAGCACCCTGATCTTCACTACTTTCTGACATTCTAGTGAATAAAAGCAATACATCGTATTCTTCTACATTTAAGTATACGTCGCAATAGTGAGATGTTTTTTGGTACATTTTTGATTTATACCCTTACAAATAAGAGTTCCCAGTGAGAATTTAATTAACCTGTAGTGAACGACTGTCAAAAAGCAGGATCTTTTAGGTCTGGAAAGACGAGAAGAAAATTAACAAGTAGAGGAAACTTTTCTAACATCCTGAAGCTGCCAGTTAGGCGTTGGATCTAACCGTTGTACGTCTTAATGTGTTTCGCCTTAAATTACGTGCAATCGCTGAACACAAACTAAATGCTGCGCCCAACGTGGTATTGTGCATGCACAATTGTATCGTTTCATTTTAGGCTGGAAATAGTTGCCGGTCTATTCTTTTTTTATGATAATTATCGTGTTACACATTGAGTGTTGCAATGGAAGTGAACAAATGCATTTTGACAGAAAAAATATTTATCCCGCTTGCATGAGTTTCCTGTTAGTAAAATATGGTCCTCAGTTAGAAAACGTGACTGCAGTTAACATGAGCAAGAACAAGAACAGTTGCAATTGAACAGGAAATGGGGGAATTTATGACTTCGTCAAAGTCAGTGTGCCTCTTTGCTTTTGACTTGTTTAAATTCAGTCTGGGAAAGCCACGTTTTATAGCTTCTGACAGTCGGTTTCTGTGCCATTGTGAAAGGTCAGGATAAAACATTTTGCGTTCTGATGATCGCATGTTCCGCCTCTTCAATGCATAAATGTGTTTACGAACATATAAGCAGAGAAGTCGTTTCTGACACACCTTAAGACGCCATTAGTACTTGACGACCTTCCAATATCATTTTTCGAACGATGGTGTCTTCAAGAAGAGGAGACGTGGACGTTTTATGCCCGATATGCTGAAATGAACGGCTCGTCCTCACAGATCATTTGAAAAGCCAGCATTTTGAGCGTTTTCCGAAGACGCTGTATTCCAAGTCATAAAACTGTGTACTGTGGTGGTAAGCGCTAAACACCTGCGATATAGGTGGAGTAGATAAGACCGGCTTACGGGCTTAGACATAATCAGCCCATTTTGACTCGTACAAAGAATGCACATCTTGCATTTCTCTCATAAAACGCCTTTTCGCTTACCTGGTGGCAAAGGCTTGTACTATCTAGTTACCGGTCGAGCCCCAGAAACACTTCGTCATTTTTCTGAGCTCTTTATCTTGCGCAGAAAGAACAGTGACAACAGAACAAGCGACAGTTATAGGCGGTATGAACCAATAAAAACGGGATGACGAGGCCAGATCAATAAATCTAAAGTAAGTGGGCTGAAATATCAATCAAAATTCCGAAATGCGTTTTAATTTCGAAAGATGAATAAGATGGGGTTGTAAAACTAGTCGGCCTGCAACATCATTCTATAAAATTTCAATTACCTCAGGATGCCGGCTATCGAACGAACTTCTTTCCGGCTACATGCGAAAACCACACTCTGCAAAATATGACTACTTATGTAGCATGATTTTTTCTCATTTATTTTCGGTGCCCCTAAAAGTCCAATTATCTTTAATGAAAAACATGCACAAAAATATTCATTCTTTTGCTCAGCCGGTTGACAATTACGTCTTCTTTTAATTTTATACTTGAAGTATGGAGATAATTCGGTTTCCAAAAACTTTTCCAATTCCCGAATAATTTTGAGCCCACTCTACCGTTACACTTGGATTTAGGGTTTCCAAACTACTAGCCATATATTTTTCGCGTACGGAAAACCCCACACTTCTCTACGGAGCTAAAGGGGAACTATATAAGATTCACAAAATTTAGCAGTGGAGTTAATCCACATTGTTAACTTTACAAGCCACATTGGTAAATGAAGAGACATAAAGTTTAAGGAACGGCCATTTCACGGTATTTAAAAGTCCCACAATTAAAAGCTTTTTTAAAATCGAATTATGTCCTCCCTTAAGTATAAAAATAGAAGAAGATGTAATTATCTACCGAATGAGCAAAAGAATGAATATTTTTTGCATGCTTTCCGTGAAATATAATTGGAAATTTAGGGGCATCGAAAATCAATGAGAAGCATGCAGGCTACTTAGATACTCATTGTTTGCAGAGTGTGGATTTTGCATGTAGCCGGGTGGAAGTTCATTCGAAAGCCGGCCTCCTAAGGTAACGAAATATTATAGAATTATGTTGCAGGATGATTAGTTTTACAACCCCACTTAATTCATCTTTTCGAAACGGAAACGCATTTCGGGATTTCGGTTGACATTTCATGAGTTAGTCCACCTGCCGTATTAATTAAATTTTCATCCTCGGCTTATCTTGCTTCTGGAGGGGTCGAGTTACCAATCGACTATCCCGTAATCAAAGGCAAGCCTTCCTGTAATCTAGGCTTTTTCGGAGAACTGTGGACTAATAGAAGACTGCGATCGATGAGTGATTGTCTTCCGTGGATAGGAGGACAAGCGTACTCAGAGCAGGTATGCAAAATACTCGTAGCACTTGTTTGTGGAAAACCTCTTACCAGTGCATTGTACGCAGAGTCTGGCCTGACAGTTTTTTACATGATATCTGACACCGCTGCTTCCAGTTAACAACTTGTAGTGGAGTCCTATCGGGCACAGCAATCATAAAAAGGACCCAACTAATCACGTGTCGCTTTTGAAATTCTTGATTGGCTGCCTTCAAGGAAAATAAGTCCGCTATCTAGAGATTGACGAAATAATATTTTGTAGGGTCGGAGCCAGAGTGCAGACGTTTTTTTTTACGGGATGAGTGCTCTTGGTGGTTTTTTTATGAGATTGAAGAAAGTGAGGATTTATGGATCGGCAAAGGAAACACCCCTCTTCACATCTGAATGAATAGCAGTATCACAGCTTTAAGCCTTTTGGCTTCTGGAAAGGGAAAGCTTATCCAGCACTGGAATCGCCTGCTTGCTCTTCTAGCTTAACTTTCTCATAAAAAGTGCCATCGTCGGAGTCGAGGGTAAAATGTAACGGACAAGTTCTCTCGAAAATGCTGTGCTTAATCTGTTGAAAACCTGTTATTTAGCAACTTCAGGTCAATGGAACCTTAGAAAGCTGTCAAAATTCTTATGTCCAGCTGACGGAAAGGCACAATAAATCGGCCGGTGCACGGGGAGTGTGTACGTTATCGATTTAGAAGGATAACTTTAGTGGGATTGTAATACTGACTACCTAGTGGCATAATTCTGTGATATTTCAGACACATCAGGACGTTGGATTTTGATTCCACTTCTTTTAGGGCACCTTCAAAAATCACATTCGATAAAACTAATACTTAATAAAACAAACGCCTTCCTGATCATTGCAATTTTTATTGATTTTCGATGGCCTTATACAAACGCAAATAGATTCTGACATATTTTCCAAAAAAAACTCATCAAAATATTACAAAATGTACTCATTTGGTAGCAAATGGCGCCTTCTTCAAGTATTGTACTGGAACGAAGGGTGTCTTTAGAGTGTAAAGATTTCTAATTATGAGGTTTTTTAAGATAGTGCATCCTATCGGTCTTCGTATTAATCATCCTTGTAGATTATGCAACATAGCTCACATTCACGGCAAAATTTTGTGATGCCAAATGGTCCCTTTCTAATTGCACGGAGGAATGTATGACTTTCCTTACACAAAACTTATACAGCGTGTAAACTGAAAACCCTAAACGCAAGTGCGACGGCGGATCGAGTTTAAAATTATTCGGCAGTAGCAAAACTTCTTTCGAACCTAAAGATGCCATTTGTTCGAGTATACTATTTGAAGGCGTAACTTTTTACCATGCAAGTACAATAAGTGATATTTTTACGGAGGCTTCCCACCAGATATATTTAAAATCAAAAGACGTCGAAAACTGATAAGAAACCGCAGTAAGTAAGTACTTACTTTTTTATGAATGTGCTGTTTTTAGGCGACCAAGCTAACGCCCTGGCATGTCTGAAATATCATGGATTGTGTCGCGCGATAATAAATACTTTAAAACAACTTAAGGAATCCTTCTTAATCAAAAACGCATTTCAGAACTTCGATTATCATTTCATTTGTTCGGTTACTAACTTTAGGCTAAAACAACTGCTTTAAGGGGTGCGATAAGTGCTCCTGCCTTCTAAATTTTTCACGGTAACCTCCCCATATTTCAGACAAACTCGCATGAAAAGGTCCATCGACGTGTTAAAACACGTTGAAAACGGGCCCGATGTATGACAAGCGTAGGCAGGCTGCTAAGCTTTGTCAATCAGGGGACCCGCAATCACCGTCGGTCGTGCCGGCATTGCCTTTCCATCGAAAAGAGTTGGATGGGAGAGGAAGGGCGCTGCGCAAGTCCGCCTCAGCATAAGCTAGTTCAGGCGCAAATTGGTCGTTCTGAGCACACTCCGTTTGACGCACAGTGGAAGCCGTCATTGGTGACGCTTGAACTCCCTAGCGCATCTGTAGATCCCGCCAAACCAGTGAATCAGAGGTCATAATTACCCAGCAGCTAGTACATCGGAAGGACATAAAACGGATCGATCAAACAGTCGGACTATGCTGCTGGATCCAGTAAACAAGCCCAGGAGGGGATTTATGAAAACTTACAGTGTGTGACCCATCTCATGAAATGTTGGCCGAAATTCTGAAATGCGTTTTTGATTGAGAAGGCTTCCTTAGGTGCAGTTGTAATACTGATTAGCTTGCGACAGAATCCTATAATAGTTCGGACTCGGCAAAATGTCAGCTTTCGAATGCGTTGCTTTCTAGTCTCCTGTAGAAGCCGAACTTCGCAAGAAATGACTACTTGAGTAGTATGCATTTTTCCCATTTATTTTCGGTGCTCTTGGGAATTCAAAAATGTCTTATAAAAATTACAAGCAAAAATATGCTTTCCCCCAGTAGTTTGGTAGATAATCACGTCATTTTTATATTTTATACCCGAAGAAGGAGGATAATTAGGTTTTAAAAATGTTTTTTAATTCCCGAATAATTTGGAACCTGATCAGTCGGTGAGTTAGTGCTCAGTGATTTCAGTCTACTAGGTGCATGCACTCCGCGTAAGCAAAATCACATATTTTTCCATGCCTTTAAAGGCTATTATACAGAGCCCATAAGATTTCGCAATGGATGCGGACTATGTTGTACATTTCATGAGGAGCAATGTTAAACGTACAGGTACGATGCTGTATGAATGGACAATGCACGGTCTTAAAAAAATTCCCAATTCCAAACATTTTTTGAAATCTAGTTATACTCCTTCTTCGAGTATAAAATATAAGAGTGGCGTGAGTGAAAGAAGGCATATTTTGTTCTTGTTTTCCATATAATATATTCGAACTTGCAAGAGCGATGAAAATCAGTGGGGAAAATGCATGCTACTTAAGCACTCACTTTTTTCCGAGTGCTAGAGAAGACTTTAAATCAGTGCATTAAAGGGTTGGCATCCTGCCGTGTCCCAAATATTATAGAATTATGCCTCAAAATAATTAATATTACAACCGCGCCTAAGTAATCCTTCCTAAACGAAAGCACATTTCAGAATTTAGGTCAACATTTCATGAGATCGGTCACTCACTGTACTTATTGCCAAATGAAAGGACTATCAGTTCCTTTTGTTGAGTTATTCGGTCCAATCATGTTACAACTTTGTTTTTGACCTCTTTAAGGTCTTGGGCCAGTCGATTTACCGGATTTCACGTCAGCAGAAGGCTTGGCATTAAGTTAAGTGATATCGATCGGCTGTTGGCCATGAGGACAACTGGTCTGCGCAGTCCAAGGTCTTTGGCAGAGCGCATCATGTTTTTTCTTATTCCTATGGATGAACTTGACTGAAAGCTTAAAATGTCAGAGTCCTAACTCACTGGATCCAGAGATCGCCTTCTGGATTTCTGCCCTGAATAATTTGCCTCTGTATTGCTGCCATCATCTCCGGTGGTGGGTTGTTCTGTCGGTTTGAAAGATTAAAAAGTACGCATAGTCTCGGTGTGCTAACCGTTCTCACCTTTTGTTGGTAAATTAATACCTCCTCAGCCAGTATTTACAACGTTACCGAGCCTATGAATCACAATAATGATCAAAATTTAGGAAACAAAATCTTTAGACCTCCTGTTTCCAACGGACAATGGATTTAAATAATGCGAACACGTGGTTTTGTTGAAAAGTGATAAGAGCATCCACTTTTATTGCACAAAGCCCTAAGTCAGCAGGATGTGGTTTAAAGATCAGTAGTGACGATAAAAATCCGCATACGACTTCTTCGTTAAAACTGAATAAATATTCTTGTCTTTTAAGATCCTATCTGTGTCTATTCGGAAGTGAAATTATTTTCCACCATTTCATAATAAGTAGCCGTTGGATGCAAGGCCACGCCCACATGAACACCTGTATCATCTGATCATTTGCAGGGTTTTTAGTTTGTTATTGTTCATTTGCTTGTCTTTTTGAGCTGAAGTTTCACGCATCTACTATCATTCAAAAATATTGCGGACAAAAGTTTGAAATGGCAAATTTGTAGAAGCAAAGGTACTTGTTAAATTGCTCCGAATAGACTTTTGGGGGATTCAGAAATAAGCTTTGCAGTGCTTCATTGCAGTCTGTTTTGTTCGTTTTTTTCATTATCCCATCCTTTCACGCCTACGACGAGCTTGAAATCGCAAACCATAGGCAGCTGTAAAATGTCTTCGAAAACTATTTGGAATGGACATAGGTGTTGCTGAAACTATATATTTCCGGCCATCAGATACTTATGACGTGGAAAAACTCCCGTGGGTGCCCAGAATGGCCCAGAATAATAGCCATATTAAACAAAAACCAACGTCAGTATGTTGCTTATCCAGTCTACACCTGTGATAGCACCCTGAACGTCAAAATATCCGCACGCCGTAACTAGCGATCGGCAAATCAAAAGGTTCTTTTGCCTGACGTTTCTGGTCCACACTCGAACCCATCATCAAAAACAATAAAAGACTGGGGCAGAGGACGCATAAAGGTTTTTTATTTATTAGATGCCCCTGCTACGCAATCATATACTTGTCTAAATGACAGTTCGGCCATCGGCTCTATGATGTCCACCGTGTACTCCACAACAAGGGGAAACAGGCTCGAAGACATGCATGTGAATTAGTTTTTGACAAGGGTAGACTTGCGCAGCATCTACCGCACTCTATCCTTCTCTCCGCGTGAAGTAGGTATCAAGACAACCAAGAAGGTCGGAGGTGGGAGAGGGTGCAGATAGCTGGCACGGCCAAGCCCTTACCTTGGCGCTCCACTCCAGGGTTTTAACCAATAATACCATTAACAGCAATAACAACGACATCAGGGAAGAGGCGAAGATGACTGGCAGCCATCCTCGCCCAAGCGCATCTACCGGTAGGGAACCAGGCTAACCAAGGAACCAGCGCCAACCAGGCTAAATACGGACATAGTAGACGCTCACGAACCTTAATCCTAACTAAATAAGCATCCCAAACATTCATTGCCGAATGTTATACTTAGTGCGGCGATTGTATGATGATCTGCGTTTGAGCCGTCAACTATGACACTTATCGCTGATGTTCGTTATTGGAGTAATAAGCACTCCGTCACATGGTACACTGATTTATCCTGATTGAAGGATTAAAATGACCGCTTCCGTTTTTGCAGCTGCTCGCCTACGATTTAAGTTGGCTGCTGTGGCCTCAAACAGATGGTGAAGTCAGCTTAGAAGACAAGCCTTGATTCAGCAAATGCACGAGTAAAGCCCTACTTATCTGCGGGCCTCCATTATTGCCGTTCTTACGCATGCTTCGGTGTGCACGTATTGGCCGGGTAAACTCGTGTTAGGCACATCCGGACGTGCAGAGCAGTCGTCCAACTCCTGATTGGCCGTCTGAGTATGCCCGTGAGGTCGATGGCTCCGTGTTGGCTTCTGGTTGGAGGGTGGTGCTTCCCAATCAGATAGCGCGCATAGCCAGTTTAGCTGAACAGTTTTAGCTCACTCATGCGATCTCCGATAAACAGTTAGTGACTGTATGAATTAACAACAAATAATCAAAAAGTTTACCGACCAAAACAGGCACAATGAAGTCATGATTATTTTTGGCTCATTTGACGTCATTAGCCAGTGCTGCTGCCAAATTGCACTGCCAAGGTTCATAGACGAATCTGTTTAATATTTGACTCATATTCTCATCACTGTGAACTGGGCTCATTTCCCGTTGACAGAGGTCGAGAGTATTCAGGAATCACATGACGCTGTCTTGCTCCCATCTTCACTCATTTGCGTCTTGCACGTAACTGCCAGGTGACTTCTAATTATTTTCCATCCCTACCGCCATGGCCTGAGCACCTTAATGCAGTGATGAGAGCCTCGCTCAGCAAGCACCTGGCCTTAGTTCACGCCTCGGGTATGCAACCTGGAATTGGGATAGCATTGGCTGATGAGAGCAAATAAATCATAAGCGACAATCTAAGTGTTCCTGTCCTTGTCGATGAAAAACTTCTAAATTTGCGATAATAACTCGGAAGTGTAGCCCATCGATACTGCCACTGACAACGGCGTACAATTGTACGCCACCTGCACAACCAGTTACTGTGTTCAGACGAAACCTTAGTCCTGAATAACGAGGGGGACGGTCAGTGCGTTTTCATGGCGGATTGGAGAGTGGAGAGCCACGACAGATGAAGTTCGCTGCTCACACGGTTGGCATCTGTCATGAGAATTTCGGTCTAGTTAAACTTGGGAGATGTGGTCGGATACCGCCGAATGAACCGCGACATTGGAGCCGAGCCCTCACTGGCGCTGCATGTTTGAGCATCTGCCTCCAAGGTAGGCATCCGGGCTTTCCAACCTAGTTCTTTTACCCGCAACAGCACCAGATTCAACGGTCGACCCCGAATGTTTCCTGCTGTAGCAGCTGGTCTTTCGGCCTCTCTGTTTATCGCCTGATGGCTGATTCCGGTTGGTTTGCGATAAAAGAAGGCGGCTGACGGCTTCCTGGACGTGTACTACGCACGGGAGCACAAGCTGAAACTTGGACCGGTTGGATTTTGTATCTTGTCTCGTTTGAGCATACAGACGTTGGCAAATTAGCTCGGGTAACCCTTCACTCTAAGCATCTGTCGGGGGTATTTTATTTTGACAATTTTGTCCTTTGCTTCGCTGCAGTGCATCTCAACTTGCCGCTATAGCGTCTGCATGCTACTGCTTTTGCGACTGGTTCGGGTGATTGTTGAAATTTGGTTCTTGCGTCGCTTTCGTCGCTTTATAAAAAATCCCAGTTTTTAGGTCCCAACAGAGAGATCCAGGAAAGCCAGTTGTTTGTTTTCTCCCTTTTGCATCTCAAATTGTATGTCCACCAAGACGGCGTTAGGGGTCTCTTTGAATACCACCTCCTAGCCTCAGTCGATGGCACCGAAGGTATATACAGAGTGCAGAATTTCTGTTCGGACCGTTTGAAGATCATCGACCTTAACGGCTGTAGTGCTGCCTCTGTTATAAGATCTCAAACGTGTACCCATTGATGTGTTTTTTTACCTGACCTGTCGAACTTGAGGTACGTCTTATGACAGAACTTCAGGTCGTGAAGGATATAGGTCTGTCTAAGAATATTTTCCATTTAAGCGTATTTGCGTTTCAGGTGTAATTCAATAGTCTCGACTACCAGATTCTGGGAAATAGACGTAAAGAGGAACATGACAGTTAGGATGACATGACCTCATTTAGCAGAAGACTTACCGCTTTAAGTTCCTCAGTAAATTGTGCTGATTAACTGCCCACGCTGTCGGATTTAACGGTCAGACATTTAAAACACCGAAAAAACCACTTTGCCAATTCATAGATCGGAGGGTTTATATGGGACGCGATGAAACGCAGAGAGGTCGCCTCTTTGTGCACTTTGAGGTGTCCATGGAATCCGGTCAAGGCCGCATTTTAAGTTTTCGTCGTGCGTCGATCGATCAGCGAGGCTGTACCTCTAGATAAATTTTGCATGTCAGCATGTTTACAGGATTGGTTGCGCAGGGGCGTGGAACTGGCGATCGGCAGGACACTGGGTCTTGCGCTAATTTCCAGGGAGATTAGGATTACTGTCAAGTTTAGGGCTATGGTTAGCGTTGGGGCCAAGGCTTAAGTTAGGGTTAGGATACGGGAATATTTACCCTTTCATAAAATCATACGTATGACCACCTGTACTGCAGCAGGAGGGTACTCATCTCCCCCTTTTTACCTGGCGATCGTCCAGCAATCTTCTTTATGTTCTTCCTCCTGTCCAGTTCGACGATGGAACGTCCTGTACCATGGACAATATAACGGAGGCCATTGTCGGCCTTGAGCTCCCTTATTACTTTGCGCGGACGATACTTGATGTGCGACTAGGTTCTTTGGCTCATTCATCGCTTTCGTTTAACTGGGGGCCAACTACACCACTGCGCTCACGTTGGCAGCCTTGGCATTCGCTGTGTCGGATGGGCCTCGCGCCAAGTCGCCCGCATCTTTTCATCCACACACACCGACTTGGTGCACAGAAAAAACAAGAACCAAGTACAGGACAGCTGCAACTGTCAGTTCTTTATCTTCAAAAACTGAGAAAATGTAAAAAACAATCCGTGTGCTTAACCTATTTTCCAGGCCCTAAGAAAGCGCTTGTAGGTTCATCCAAGGCCGATCCTTGGTGCTGACTGTGACGTCGTATAATTTGATAGACTTATCCTATTTGCCATCTTTATGCTGTACTTAAGGACTAAGTGCTTCCTGGGTCGAAGAATTCAGTACATCTTTGATAGTTTCACTGCGCCGATGACCGGTTAATGGGTTTCGGGAGTACTTACTTACGGACCTATTAACCTATTGGCAGAGGGGCCGTTCGAAAGCGTTGAATTCCCAAGGCTACTACGAGGCTACTTCGACTGAAATAGAACAAGGCACGTTATTTGACTTTCACGCTTTACCGCAGAAAAATCGCTGCTTCCTGCCACAGTATTATCGAGCCAAAGTGTTATGTAGTTATCATTCCAAAAGTGAACTATGATGATGAAACCGCGACCACTGAGAACTCTGACGAGAACGATCAAGAAACATAGCCACTCTGATGAACGCGGGAGCCGCTGACTTTTGTGGTCATGTATTGCTATCAAGTCTGCGTCCTATCGCCATTGGATCATTGTGCGTCCACTATCTTTAACTGTTGCTGCCCCAATGATGGTTTATTTGTAAAGTTAAACTGGGAAAGTGCTTGTTCCAACGATCGTGTCCTGTTTCCGGTAATTGCTCTCTGAAATTCGCACTCTTGTTTGTGTCGACAATGGAAAGTGTTTTCGTCACGTGATGGCAGTGTGCGCAAACTTCACGCCCACAGTTGATCTCACTTATTCCGCCTTACAGTCAGGCTTAACTTGAAAACAAATTATCTGAGACTTTTTAAACGACGGAAAGGAAAACAACTTGTTTTCAGTTCGTATGTCCTTGCTTTGACCTCCAGTATTAGGCATTCTCGAGTCCATAAGAGACTTGCCATAGTGACTGCTCCTGGGTAGATTATCCACGTGTATGTTAATGATGTAGGTTACACATTCTACGTCCCTCAGTAAAACATCTAAAATTGCGCAATAAGAAGAAGTGCAACTGGCCCAGTGATTTGAAGAGCAAATTCTTCCATTAACTGAAGCAATAAAATGTGAGTTCATTTGACTTCCTGTTGTCCTAAAGTCCAGGACGTGATCTGTCGTCCTTGTCGTCCAGCAGGATCACATGTGCGCATCCAACCGCGCCGAAATTCGAAGTGATCGACAAGGATTACATCCTTCCCAAGGAAGACGTTTGATATGCCACCTAATGGTCCTCCAATGTGATGTTTCTCCCCGACATCCCCATATAACGGCAACATGATTCGGTCACCAAATGGATATTTCCAAAAAATGAACACTCCGGCCCTACTTAATGCGAGATATGTCCCCTATGAAGGTATAGTACTAAGTAAATCAGTGTGTCAGCTTTCATGAGGAGCTCATTTTGGCGGCGGTCGCGTTTGGAAGACTTCAAGTGTTGTCTAATAGGGATTTTTGCTGTTCGACTGAAAAGTGGATAAACTCTAGAAAAACACACTGCGATAATGCAGCGAGATACAGGGTAGGAGTGATTCTCTAGCGATTTACCCAAACAAGTTTTATCGGTCGCACTGTTTTCTCTTGCCTCTTGAAAGCAAAAGAGAGTTAAAGAGGAGTGGGTCGATGCAATAGTACCTATTTGCGAAAATGTTTCCTATCGTTGCATTGGATGAGCTGGGCTTCAAGTTTTTGTAAATGGTTTTACTTGACTAAAATATTCGGAAGATAGAAGACCAAGAGAAGCGATTTTACATAATTTTCAACGGCTGCTTGCCTGGTGCAAGCGAATGCCTAACTATGGTTAGTGACCTAATTAAAGGACAAAAACTTCAATGGGTTCACATACTCAGGTGTCAGTCAGCGAATAATAAGTTTGAAAAGCATCGGCACGCGTAAACGTAAAAGTTCCATGTGGTGTATATTAAGAGAATTTTTCTTACGCCAGATTTATTTGCGGTTTTCTGATGGTTGTTTTCGTCGAGTTGTAGATCAAAACTTTAAAAATTTGATAGCTTTTGAAAGCATTTACAGAGTCAGTGTATGGGCAATCTTCTTCACGCAGATGGCCGGTTAGGTCACACATTAAGACTCAGCCAGATATGAAACCTCATTGTCGAAAAATACCAACTCCCATAACAAAAGTCGGCGACCAATATGCTTTGAATAAGTTAAAAAACCTTCTCCAATAAGTAGCCTACTAAGATGTGCTTTAATACTGTATTCTTCTGGCGGATGTCCGTGTTATCTATCTTTTGACACGACAAACGCAGAAAAAGTTGATATTTTCAACCGTTTCTTTCGCGTTGTTAAAAGGTATAGGCAAAAACCGGACCGCACAAAAGTATGTTTTCGTATATTCAAACTTTACATTGCCGTTCGATGGTAATTGGTTTGACGGTCACTCAAAGCGCATTCTCAAATGGCAGGATATTATTGGTATGTTCAACGAAGGGATTACCTATAGACGTTACTAATGGATTTTGGGGCATGAAGTCTGTTTTCCAAAATAAACAAAACATGGTTTTTCAAAAAAAAATAACCTGCTTGTTCGCAACCTGCTTTCTGCGGTTAGTCTTACAAAAAAACCGATTTTCATAGGCGGTATGTTCTGTTCAGTAAACCTGATGATGTTGAATTACTCTCCTTTCAATCAAAACACGCTCACATAAACGGTCGAAGTCTAAGACTGCTGATAACATGAAAAATTGCCCCAATGTAGGGTAACTTGGATTTTTGCTCAAATTTATAAACTTTCGTCTGATAGAATGACTTAGGCGCGTAGTCTTTAGGAAAAAAAGGACATTTTTTGAAAGACGCTGGACAAATGAGCAAAGCGCATAACGCTTTAGGTGCTTAGAAATTACCGCCCCAGTGCCCGTCATCACACTTCGTGAGTTAGGTCACATACTGTAGTAATGCAGCTATGCAGTAGCCACTTAACATACTTTATCTTGTTATTCGTCCTATCCTTTTGAGCTTCGATATTCCGAAGAAACAACTTCGTGCTGTATTCTAGAGGCATGTGGCACTTTAACTTCACTGGCAGTTAAGCAGTGCCAAAACTTACAAAATAATCGGAAGGATTGGACACACGAATAAGTTTCCTCCGTATTTCCGAGGGTTTTTGGCCAAATTCCAGAAAAATTAGTTTTTCACCTTCCCCCAACTTTAACCCTAACTTTTTTCCTAACCGTCCTAGAATTTAACGTGAAACCACCTGTAACACGATGGTATTTACCTTTACTTTTTACCACGGGAATCTCTAGTTTTTTGCACAAATGCCGAAATAGACAAATTTTAAAGGACGCCTTTTTAACTCCATGAATGATCGATACCCCGGAAACTAATTTTACGAAAGCGCATCTATATTGGCAAGCTAAACCTAGGGAGGTGTCAGCACTTTGCAGTAAACTGATCCTAGGTCGTGCAAAATGGCCTCATATAAGGTATGCGCACATTCTGGCACAATGACTGACCTAAAAAGTGTAGCATCTTGAACTCTTCAAAATCTTTAATCAACTTCTTTGTGAAAGCATTTATTTTGAGTAAGAGTTAAGGTACCCCATCAGACGGGCAATAGACTAGACGGTCGGGAAGAATTTCCATATCCAACTAAAAATCCTAGTTTTCAACGGAGCATTTATACACAGACAGTCCAAGCCACATTCGGCTAGGGCGTTTATCAAACACGCATTGGCAAAACACTTTAGTAATCATGCTTTGGACCGTATTGGTAATCGCCAATTAACTTGCCTAAAGTTCAGAACGTAACTGAATCTATGAATATGTGTATTTCAGCTAGTGCTTAACTCCAATAGCGATTGCATATTGAAATGCTTAACAACTTAAAGTGTCTATTCGGATGTGCAATAGGTGTGCTAACTCATAAAATGTTAACTGAAATTCTGAGATGTGTTTTCGGTTCGAAAAGATTACTTAAGTGGGTTTTAAAATTACTCATCATGCAGCCTAATCCTTCAATAATTCAGTTATCTGGGGGATGCTGGCTTTTGAACAAACATGTTCCCGGCCGCATACAACAACTGAACTTTGTGAAAGACGACTACTTAATTAGCGTGAATTTTTCTCAATGATTTTCGATGCCCTTAAAAATTCAATCATACTTAATAGGAACCATGCAGAAAAATATTCACTCTTTTATTCATTCAATAAAAAAACAAAGTCTTTTTTATTTTTTTACTCGAAGAAAGAGTATAATCGGTTTTAAAAAAGTTTCTCAATGTGAGATTTTTAATATCGTGAAATGTCAGTTCAGGAAATATCGTGCCTCTGCATTTACGAATGTTGCTCGTAAACTTTACAATATGGGTCAAATCCACTGCTAACGTTTATGAACTCCATATGGTCTCCGTTTAATATTGTAGAGAAATAAGTGCTTTTCCTTAGTGTGAAAATATACATTTTATAGTTTGTAAATCCTGAATGCAAGTTTAACGGCAGGTGGGATTCAAAATTACTCGGGAATTAGAAAAGTTTTTGAAAACCGAATTACACTTTTCCTTTGGGAATAAATTGAAAGAAGACGTAACTTTCTACCGAATGAGTAAAAGACTGAATATTTTCATGCAGTTTCCATTAAATATAATTAAAATTTTAAGGACATCGAAAATCAATGAGAAAACTTCACGCTACTTAAGTAGTCGTCTTTCGCAGTTTTCAGTTGTTGTATGCGGCCGGAAACATGTTTGTTCGAACGCCAGCATACCCAGACAACTGAATTACTAAAGGATTATGATGCATGATAGGAAATTTTAAATCCACCTTTGTAATCTTTTCAAGCCGAAAACGCATTTCCGAATTTCGGTTAACATTTCATTAGTTAGCACGCTTACTATATCTCATGTTAATGATATCAGGTAAAGCGTTGGACAAAAACGTACATTTTTAGAAACGAAAAAGATCATACCTATCATCAAAATTCAGTAACAAACTCATGGAAAAGGACGAAAGGAGTACTATCGTTCTGCATTCACTCGAATCGTGTGGCGAAAATGGTGACTGACCTACTATGGATGATATATTTCGCATTTTCGATTCCCTGAAGAATGCTGGGAGGAGCAGTTCATCTTAACTGGTCTTTTCTGCCCTTCCTCGGTTAGGGGGAAGATATGGATCACGCGGACGGCTTCAACTCCAGCAGCGGTAGCACCTTCATCACTACTGAAGATAGGTATCGCAGGCACAAAAGATCCTATGCTGATTTGGGCAGAGCTCTTACGCCGCCGTCGGTATGTTTCTTACTGTTCCAAAAATTTGCAGTTTATTGTTTACTGCATGCTTCCTTATAATCAGGAAGTCACTTGTAAAATAAAGCCATAGCGTGTATTAGAAAAGCACTTCTCTTTGTTGTAGGGGTGATAAGCGTCAATAGTGCGCAGTGGGTATTCATGTGACTCATCTAACTTTTTTATTTTAAGGCATCTCTTACTACCATTAATAGCCGTGTTTACTGTTTTAGCATATTAGCTGTCTCCAGAATAAAATTCTTCTAATGTAAAAGCGACTTTGCGAAGTTTTAAAGCGCAAACATCGAATAAGGTTGATATAGAAACGAAGGTCAGAATGTCATCTTCGGAAGTAAGTCCACGACAGTCCGGATTGGTGCTACTGATAAGCTCTACTTTTGTCAACGTGTGGTCCACAGACACTCAAGTCCATGTGATCAACACGACCATGCTGTTGGTTGTGGCAGTGGGATTTTTGAGACCGCATCCCCTCTGGGGTCCGAATCATAAAATAAAAATGACCAGTCCCTATAAAGCAGCACAGCTAGACTAACTCACACGATTTGCGAATTCCGTTACTCTTTCCCTAGCCCTGACTGATAGTTACTAGATTTGCACGACGCACCCAGTCCTCGAATACGCCACGCCAGACTGTCGAGGTGTGGTTCATAGTCCTTATTCACTTTTCAGAACAAGCTGATGGTTGCCCTAGAGGGTGAGAGTCTGCGTAGACAACTACAAGAGCGACGAGAAATTATGTCCTTAAACAGAGAAGTTTTTACACTGGGGCGGTCAGCCAATCACAAATTTCCATCACCGACTGAAAATCTACCTGTTTTACGGGCGAGTTCTTAGGCAACTTGGGTGTTACGGTTTATATATAGTAGCTGACCTATCTCCTAAAATGTCAACCGAAATTCTAGTATACGTCTATAATTAGAAAACGCTATTTGGGTATGGTTGCAGTACTGATTGTCCCGCAATAAAATCCCGAGATACTCTAATCTTGCTAAGATACGGTTTTTAACTGATCTTTTATCCCGGTCGCCTGCAAAAACCACACTCAACAAAAAAAGTGATTATTTATTTACTGTGGGCTTGCATAATTGGATTTCGACGCCCTTGGAAAACCTAACTATAGTTTATGGAAAACATGCAGAAAATATGTCTTTGTGTGCTTATTTAGTAACACATTACGTCCTTCCAAAGTGTTATACTAAGAAAAATGGTGTCATTCGGTTTTCGTGAGTCGACCGTGAATTTTCCTTTCATACAGTATTCAATCTGTCTTTTCCCCGCTGCTGCTGCTTAGTAAATTTACATACTGGTTTGCATCCGCCGCGGATTAAAAAACACTATATGACTTCTTACTGGCATATAGAAATATGTAATTCTCTTTTCACAGTAGGTATTCAGAAGGTAGTTTGGAAATCCTAGGCGCAAGTGTAACGCCTTAAATAAGACTTTATTTATTGCGAAGGAATACAAGAAAGAATACTGTCGTGCACGTTTTCTATAAAATATATTTCGATTAAAAACGCGCCGAAACTCAAGGACAAAATGCATACCGCATAAGCAGTCATTTTGTCATGTATACTTTGCAGGAGATAAAAAGAAGCTGTTTTAAAAGCCGACACTGGCGTGCCCGAAATATGTTTGGGTATGTTTCGCGATTATCAATATTACGAACCCAAATTGGCAAAGTTGAGAGATCCGGGAAGATTATTTGAAGAAGAAGAAAAAAAAGAAGAAGAAGAAGAAGAAAGTAGGCTCTCTGGAAGCAGTTAAATATACCTGTTCCGGAGAGCCTATTTTGTTCTTCAAATTACAAACGTACCTCAGTGATTTTCTTTAACTTAAGGTAGATTTCGGAATATCGATTAATGTTCCTCGAAAATAACCAGGTATTGTATATACTGTTGACTGTCATCGCCTCCATAAATGACTTTAGAACATCTGAACTCATGCATGTAAAATACGGTCGTCCTTTCAAACCCTTGTGGCTATCTTCTGCATTCTGATTCTAGCGTCGATGGCTGGACGGTGATGAACATCTGCTCGATCCGGTGCTTATGACGCATCTTATAAGCCCCACGCTGTATGCGTGAACATTTAAGGATTGTATGTGTACGCTATGCTATTATTTAGCCACCCATGGCCCTCGCCGCCTGGTGTGCGCTGGCAGTTCTCTGACACCCCGTTCCCTGCCGGTAGATGCGCTTGCGTTCTCGTTGGATATGCAGGTGGTGAGCATGGCTGCCTAGTTATCCTCCTCTTTCTGACTCGTCGTGGTCTTGTTGTTGGTTAAAATCCTAGTCAGGTGTTTGTTGTGGACAGGGGGTGTAGTGGTACGCCTAGATGAGGGTCCAACGGCACCGGCCATCTGCGCCCTCTCCCACCTCCGGCCTTCATGTCTTGACACTGGGTTCAGACGCGGGAGGAGGAGAGAGTGCGATAGATGCTGCGCAAGTCACTGTGTCTGCTCCCACCTTGCTGTGGACTACACTATCGTCGCTGACGACGGTCGGACTATGATGCCTGCGCATGCTCTTTTTCCTGGTTTTTTGCTGCATGAATGCAGATGATGTTCGAAGCAGCTCTCTATCAATCCACTCTCATTCTCTGTCGCCTCCCCTCGATTATATATCTACCTGAATAATATACCAGTTTTGCTGACGGTGTAACGCTGGCCTCTTTTAGTTCTCTGACGTAGATGAGATGGAGGCCGAATATGGACTGCCAGTTAATCACAGTGTCGCCTCCGACCCAGCCCAGCTGGACGCGCAGAGAAGACAAAATCGGATTCGTCACTCCATAGCTGGAATGTTCCAGAAAATGAAACGTACCATGTCGACGTATTCGGTAGAGAACGTACGTTCGTGAAGGAATGCGCAAATTTAAGTAAAGATTTGTAAGAAAATCCGCCACTGTTTTGTGATCACGTTTGACTTTTTATATAGGGATTTCCGGTTACTCTAACATTACGTTTGTATGTTAGTTTTAGCTCTATCCCTTTAATTATTTTTTGTTATGACAGGGTTTTTAATAAACTTCCAGAAAGTGTGTGATCGTAACCTCAACTTCTGTGCCGACATTTAAAAAAAGCCACTAATTGATACCAATGCACTCATCCCCACGGTGCGGACTTAGGTCGGAAAGGCAAAGATTCTCACGTAACAAATAGATGAAATTGTTGAACATAATTGAAAAAATCTCAATTTTTATGCATATTCCTTGTTAGTTCGTTGGTTCTGGTATGAAGGGTGAACTTTTATTTTTAGCAAAGTGGCTTTATTCTGGCCAAGTCACTTACGATGTCATCCATAGATTATATGATTAAAAAGCTAATTGTACACTTTGTAAGTGACTGATACGCACTGTATGTCATAAAGTTTACTTTCATTTTCGAAATGAATGACTTTAAGAAACAAGGCTTTGAAACTTCATATATTTTTTGCCGTGAAATTAGGCGCTCGGGGCGGCTTTTCATCGCTTATGATACTAGAACTTGCTTATGCAAGTGACTGTGAATTTCAGAATGCTTCAGCAATAGTAACCTTGTTATGCGAATGCTAAGCTCTTCGGTCATTCGCAAGTGGAAAATACAGCTAATTCGTATTCACGTTGGTTAACTCCATTCCTCGGATCTTGAGCAGACGAAATGCCAAGGTAGAACTTCTCCTAAATTACTTGAAACACGCGAAAATTAAACCGTGAAAAGTAACAAAGCTTGGGGCTGGAAGAAGTTTGTATTTCAACGGTCAAATTTCAGCCTTTACTTAAAAAAAAACATTGCATTTCCCCTTTAGAGCACCGAGGTCAACCAAAGGCTCATTTGGGGCATCATGTTGAAGCTGAATTCTGCTAGACTTAAAGGTGAGAGGCCATTGTTTATAATGACCTATATACGAGTGAAAGCAAGTCTGAACATGTTTAACCGCAGTTTTGACCGCATAAACCGGCAAAATCGACCAAGACCTGGTTTCTTTGGCCAAAATTCATTCTAATTATTTATGTGGACAAGTTCCAGAACGCGATTTTCATATTCCGGTAAGATTGCGGCAGATTTCATTGCCTGCCAGCGACTCTCGCTGATCAGACACGCAGACAATCCTCTTTGAAGGTTGGCGTCATCTGTGTACAAAAGTTAAAGGCGGAAATGGCTCTAAATATGTTGCTTACTCAAGGAATATAAAGAATCCTTCTGTCCGTAGATTGCAAACACGTTCAAGAAGGCTGTTTAAACCGTGCTTGCAAAACTAATGACATGCCACTGAACATCACGGTGTAGTCGAACATGTTTAATCACATGCGACAGAATCCGCGTCCTGTTACCAGCGGGTAAATCGTTCTACGATAAGGCGCAGAAATGGGAACCCCTCTCCTATGTAATACAGGTGGCTTAACGGAAAATTCCAGGACGGGTACATATTCCTATGTTCTAACCCTAGCTCTGACCCTGGCTCGAAACCCAAACTAAACCCTAGCCTTAACCCTCGCTCTAATCCCCGTGCAAATTAACACAAAGTCTCGGAATAGGCGGGGTATTTCCTATCTCCGCTCACACCTTCTTCGAATGCGGCTGAAGTAATGAACATTGCATTGAAAGTGGCCTAAATAATCCCCTTTTCTCTCTCATCGTTTCGTTGGTGTGGAAAACTTAGCAATGCAAGAAAGGAATCAATCTCATCCGGCAAACCAAGTCCAACTGGTGGATTTTATTTAAAAAGTAAATTATATCAAAGGATTAAAAGAAACTGTGATGCATTTCTAATGTTTACATCGGTGTAACTGGCTTAAATTCAAGTTTAAAGCTGCCTATACTCGAGACGCGGATGATTTCCTCTAACAATCTAAAATTTGCTAGGTTTCTCTGATCTACTGCTTTTTATATCAGCCTTCTCACCTTCTTATGGTAAAACTTCGGCAAATAATGTATGCTGGACCACGCAGGAAACCAGGTTTAAACTCTGTTTTTCTTTAGCCAAAGAAAACGTTTATGTGAGAATTGTCCACAATGATGTAGTCATTGGTAAAACGAGGACCTGCACCAACACAAACCATCCCAAATGGGACGAAAAATTCAAATTTAAGTTGGACGAAACTGAAAAGCTTTTGGAGGTTGGTGTTTTATTTTATTGTTTTTACTGAATTTTTTGTGAGAAAAGCAAGTCTGTGTAGGAGAGCTCGGTTGTTAAGTTCTTCCAAGTATTTTTCTTAATATTATTGGCGGTATTTAGACTGAAAAATGATTTTAATATCTTCGAATAACACATTTATTGAGTTCTCTTAAGGTTTATAAGTTTGGGGTTACTTTCATAAAACTGTAAGTGTACGCGGAAGCATCCATTTCCCGAATCAGATATCTGATCTTTTCAATGTTTTCGAATTACATAGACGTTACACGGTTATTCCGCCAAAACTGATATAACGAGGCGTAAATGCTTATAGCAATCTTTGAGATAAACCTGGAATGACCTGTATCGCTGACCCAAAATTTACAGGTTACTTTCCGGGGGAATTAAAGAACTTAGAATATAACTCTTAACTATATAACCGTAGTTGGATTGAACATAAACAGTTCCTTTAGGCACCTAACAGCGGCCCCCAACTTTCTTAAAATGTCACCTTAGGCGTCGTATTTGCAAATATATTGATTTTTATGGGATATATGGCGTAGTCTGACTTGTGATCTAAGTACTAATGTATGTTTTCACAATTCATTTTACTTACACATCTATATCAAAACATTTTTATATTCAGGCAGAGTAACACTCATTTACTCATTCTGCGCTTTTTAGCTGCAACTGGTACAAAAACATTCGCTTAGGAATGATAGAATACTCGGGCGTTCCTTCATTGACTTGTTTGCGATTGAGACGTAAGTGGGCATTTTAAACCACATCTTAATCTAACATCATGCAATTGTCACAAACCAGTAAATATATTAAAAATATATGCTCCAAACGACGATTTTAGATGTCCAAATGCCGACTTATGAAAGTAAATTCAAAAGCAATGGTTTATTTCATTTACGGATCCAGCTATCTTTCAGAGTTAGGGAAGATCATTTGGTATTTCTCTTGCAGACTCTATGCGGGCAAATAAGTTGCTTTTAAAAAACAAAAGGTGAACATTATTTGACACATAAATTTCAGATGATAAAATTCTATGTTTTATAAAACGGGTCAGAATAATATGTTTAACACAAATCTGATGAATAAATGCTCCATAAACGATAAGGTCAAGGGGTAGATGATGGTTGAATTGACCCTTTGTTTCATTTAATAGCCAGGCAGTATTTACTGCTGAGCGCAGAACCTGAAGTCCGGTGTGAAAATGAACAAAACGATCCACTGTTCTTAAGTTGAAGCAGATCTGATGCCTGATTTTTATCCTGATATTTAAGTTGTAATTATTTTCCCGACTATAAACTGACGGAAATCTTAGGATATACCTACGAGAATCGGTAGCAGGTTACAGCGTCGACATTGCAGTACTGCTTATTTTCATGCACTTACGAGGCAAGCGGAATCACCAAAGGAAATTTTAGTTGATATTTGCGCACATTCTTCAGTAGTTACTACCGATTCGGCGACTATTGATGACTTTGCAGCGTAGACTCCGTCTTTTGCGAATCCCATAAAACATCTCATTAAGGTAGAATCTTGTATCACAAATCACCAAAGGAAATTTTAGTTGATATTTGCGCACATTCTTCAGTAGTTACTACCGATTCGGCGACTATTGATGACTTTGCAGCGTAGACTCCGTCTTTTGCGAATCCCATAAAACATCTCATTAAGGTAGAATCTTGTATCACAAAGAATAGGACTCGGGAATAGGGGACTCCCTCCTGCCCAATACAGGCAGCCTTGTATTAGATTCCAGGGAGATTAGGGTTATGGTTAGGATTACGGTTAAGGTTACCGTTAAGGTTATGGCAAGAGTTGGTATTAGAGTTAAGATATGGGAATAGGTACTCTCCCTACAAGCGCATGACCACTTGTGTTACGTGGTTCCTATTCCCGTTTCTTACAACAATTCTGTTAGAGTGCGCTGTCTTGTCGGACATAAAACTTCTCAGGCCCAAAGCTTAGTTTGCCTGCTATTATTTACTCCAGTGGGTTAAATTCATTCTAGTCTGTCGGCACTTTCTGAACCCCTTGTTTATGGCGATACGATAATTCAACGTTAAAATTCCTAACATAGAGTGGATGGCTATGCAATTTCGCAATGGTCAGGAAGGGGCGCGCGTAGGTAATATGGTCTTTCGGACGGTAGACCGCCTAGTCGCAGTAACCCTATAGACATTAGTCAGGGAAAGAATCGAGAACTGTAGCGTAGTCAATGCAACAGACGGTTGACGGCTACTGTCGACCATTTGAGGATACGCAATGTCTAGATAGTAAGCAAATCCCCTGTGCCCTACCCGAAAACCGGAATGACTTGGTCTCGTTCATATAGCACGATGAGGACTCCAGCAATAAGCGTAAAACTATAACATTCTCACGCTCGTGACGCTCTATCTCTTTCTGAAGACTTTAAAAATATACCTATAGTTATTTTTTGCTCGTTAAATGGCCTCACCGAACCAGGGCACAACACCTCTAGAAGTCATCTAAGAGGCTATCCTCTCCGGTCTCAGAGGTGCATGCAAGGTTTCTATGAGGGTGACGGGAATTCAGAGGTCAGAGAGCAACATTCTGAAGTGGCTGGCCGTTCCCCAAACGTTTGCGCTGGTCCTGTCGCCAGTAGTACGGACAGACTGACTGCCACCGAAGTTCTGGACTGAAACTACCTTGCTGGCTTTTCTAGCAGACATAGCTGTAAATTTACAA